TAGTGCCCGTAGGGCTTCATTCTGGGCGAGTTTGAAGAAATTCGATTTTTTCGCTATTTCCAAGTCTAGTTGATATTTAGGCGAAGCTGCTCTTAAATATACATCTGCTTTATTTGTAAGTGGTTAAGTATGTCACGTGATTGGCCACGTGATTTTAAACGTGACCAGTAACAAATATGCGACTATTGACAAACGTGCTTTCGCCGTTGTTTTGAAAAACAACCTCGCAAAAACGAAATATGTATCCCTTCTTTATTAAATTAACTTTCTTTTGCTCTTGCTATCATCTTAGCAAAGCCTTTGGAAATGAAAACTGTTCACTGTATATCACTTTTTATCAGTTTAGATCTAGCACGCAATCGAGGCTAGTCCCTTGGAGGCAAACAAACTAAAAATTATGACTCACATGTAAATGAAAAAGAAAGAAAACGTTGCCGTTACTCGTTCCTGATTTAAGATACTGCAATATTCGGATTTATGACTATAATACTAATAATAGCAACGAGAATTATTGTTCTCACTCAGAATCAGAGTCCTCGGAATCTAAGGGAACTCCATGCGGATTTCTACACATGTCACTGCTGGCCATGCAATAACATGCCTCTGAACATGATAAGCCTGTGTTGTTACACGAGCAGTTGCTCTGACACCCGCTCTGACATGTGCAAGTCGTCAGTTCCAACAAGCTACTCGGGGCTGGCTCTTTTGTCATGTAAACCGGCTTCAGTGAGGAGTCTTCCCTCATCCATCCATTACATTCGGGCTGTGGGAGATGCTGGATTGCAGTCAGAGCCTTTCTCCAAACAAACGTCTGATAGTTAACTCTTTTCAAGTGTTGCAGAAGGCTGTCAGATGTGGTTGGGAGAAGCTCGTTCTTCTGCTTCCTGTTTTGACAAAACAGGAAATACATCAACTCATCCACAGTGCGTCGTTTCATCCTTGAGCTCGCGAAGAGATCACAGATAAAAGCTTCACATTGGATGGCGATGCCATCACTCAGGTTTCGCTGGGAACCTAGAAGACCTAGACTGTCTTGATGCTGTTCATTGCGTACTAGCACTTGTCATCTCTTCTTCTTACCGATTCTGGCAAGGGCACTGGTGGAGTTGCATCCAGTAATGTCGCTTAAGGCCGGAAGGGCGCGACACATTTTTTCGCCAAGGTCTTACGATACGTCGTGAACGAGTGATGTGGTGATAGCGTTAAAGTATTTGGATGCGAGTTCGTTAAAGGTACTACTCCCCGCTAATTTCAGTAATTGATCTAAAGCCATGCCGTCGATGAGATGAATGGTGTATTGTAGGAAAGGTTGGAGTCGTGGGCAAACATTAACTTTGCTTTCAATACGAGCTGCCAGGGTACTCTTGGTTGTCTTCCTCAAGCTACCATCTTGATAAGCCAAGGAGAACGGGAAAGATGAAGGCTCATAGCATAGAACTTCTTTGAGGTTAATCTGCCTCACGTTGGCGGTGATCAAAAGGCGTCCAAACAGCTCTCTATCAGCGCCAGCTGTAACCAGCTTATCATTGACTACCTTTACCTGGATTTTCCTTGTTGTTCTTTCGAAAGTTTTCATCTTGAGCTTTGGAATTGGATCCCAAAAGCTTACTTGGTTAGTGGTCAACCGTTTCTCTACTAAGGTGTTCATCCGCTCGCGTCCTTTTTCAATGTTTCTTACTAGACCATCAGCGCTGTCATTGGGTAAGACGACGCCCTAAGCGGAGTTGACTAATGACTCAGATTCTTGCGTGAAAGGATTAGCCATCAGTTCAGCTGTAAAGCATGAAACAAGCTTCTGAACATCGGCCTCATCGCGCGCTACCCGTTTTGTACCAGCCTCTTTGTGTATGTTCACGTGGCTGCACTCTTGCGTAAACATATTTTTAAGGGCCGTAGTAACTGACGCACGCTCGTGACTGGTGAGGAACCAACGATCTAGCGCACCAGGATTCTGGGAAATACCAATTATCCCCCCTTTCGACTTGGAGTCTGCATTTATGGTCTGTTCCAGTGCCATGTCTGTCCACACCTGGGCAAAGGGCTTACCAGAGCGACTAACTGCATGACAACCATTCACAAATTCTTGATGAACTTGAGGATGCTTGGTGGCCAACTGCCTCATGCCCATTATGTATACAGGGAGCGAGCGCGCATAGTTTGGCCTATCCATCGCGAAGAAATGTGGGACTATAGCTGATACACTCAACAGATGTAGTTCCCAATTACCGGTTCTTTTAGCTTTGACAAATTGAAGAAGCAGCTTCACCATTTCTCCATACCCCTCCCAGAAAGCAAAAATCTTTGACTTAGCTTTAGACTGGGCTTTAAAATCTTGAAAAAGTGAACGTAGCTCTGTAGTTTCCTGCTGCAACTCATTCACGCTAGATTGTACACCTGCCTTCATTGTTATTGCGCGTCTGCATTCTTCTGATTTTCTTATCACGGCATCTTCATCAACAAGACGCTCTTTTCCATCTCCAGCGTGGCTTGCGTACCATCCAATGAAAGCGTCCCAGATCAAACGAAAAAGAGCCTCCATTGCTAGCTTGTGAGCTCGAATTCCTCTGTTGTAAGGTTTCCCCTTCATTACCGCTGAGGCCGTCACCGCTGCATATACACTAGACTCAATAAGGAGGTATTCCAGTCCAGAACTGCAAAACTTCTTTCCAAGCAACGGTAGGAAATTGAGAGCTATGTGGAATCCCCCAAGCCGAATGAAAGTGCCTGAGAACTCCTCCGGAAACCTCATCTGAATTTGCTTTGCCTTCGTGTAGATAGCAAGGTGAAAGGTGATGACAGTGTCGACCTGTCTCAGGGTGTTTTTCATAACTATGTAAACTGTGCTGAATTCGGTGGATGAGCCTTCGATCATAGGACAGTATCCAATTTTGCTCGCAGAAGGAAGTTTAGGATACAAGATCGAGTTAAATCCACCCCAGCTCGGAACTGGTTACTCTTTCTGCGCTTCAATGCCCGTCTTCAATAAACTTGCCATTTTGGATCATGGAAGCCTCGATATGAATCCGGATAGAAACGTATAACGAGGCTAAGTCTTTGTTTCCAAGACAGTTTTCTCCGCAAAAAATTATTTGAATATCACTGGCAGTCTAACAGAACGAAACCATTGTGCTT